GAACCCATGAATCATTCCATAAAGCGCACATGCTATAAGAGCATCACCTCGTAACTCTTTACGCCTTATATTGAAATTACAAATGTGTAGTGGAAATGAAAAATTACAGATCATATAAATGTCAAATTAACAAACGTAGAAAAAATATGTACACACGGCCGAAAATTCCCATTTCCGTGAACAATTCATAAACTATTCAATGTTGTTTATATGTTGTGTCATATCCCCACATCATTGTTGGAGTCTGTAAGCCTTGACTTAGCGAGGGTGGCTGTTTCTGTTTGCACAGAATTAATGACATTCCAATAAAGCTCATGAATCGCGAGAAGGTCATGATCAAGACCTTGAGTATCGTATTACTGAATTCCCTCGAACTTAACCTAGCGTCCTATCTGTGTACTATAAATCATAGGTTGTTGAAACTATAAAGAGAAAATTGATTTGATTATTTTGTGGGATTTGTTTTGTGCAAGTGTGGGCATTGTTTGGTCACAAGTATAACTGATTTATAAATACAGATTGAGAGTATGCCATTTAGAATATTTAGAATAGTATCCCATTTAGAATCAATTACTATAGTAGTCATGTAGTACCACTGACACGAATAATACAGATCGAGAGTTTGACATTCATTAAGACCAAGAAATCAGAAGTGTTTTGCTTTATTTCTAATATAGTAAGCAATCATTAAAATCTACTTATTGTAACCACTTTGACTTGTTTTAAGTTTTGCACTTGTTATCTTTAAACATTTTTTTACAATGTCAAACAAACTCACAAAGTCCGATATTACGTATTATTATACGTTTTTTTCTAATGCATGTACTGTAAAGCCATGGGCATTACATAAATGTTAAAAATTCAACAGTACATGTTGTAAATAACGTAATCTTAACCTTCATGTTTATCTTAAATATTTGTGAAATTTATTAGGATAATCTCTTTAATGTTTCATGTCCAAAGTGATTATTAATGTGTCCAGATTCATTATTTGCTGATCATTAGACCTTTCGAGCAGAGGATTTGGGAAAGCTAATGTTAACCAATTTTTAACGTCAACATCTCACCGAATTAATCACTGGCCAAATTATGAGAATGGCTTAAGTTCACATTCATCGTGTTATTGTAAGATAAAAACATAAATCTAAGCATATTACTATTAGATACCAAAGGTTAAATTCTCCCCATTCAATTATTGTAATGGTTATGCATTCGATTTGGGAGTCGGTGAGTGCAAAGGCAAACATCACACTTGTAAATTGTCGAAACAAAGACGCGTGCGCTAATGATTTATGGGTTCAGGCCCTTACCTTGCATATCTCTAAATTCCTTATTTTAGTTTCAGTTTTCTACTTAAAAAACGAAATTAATATATAAAGAAAAACGAAATTATTAAAAGTAGAAAACAAAATTATTAAATAAAGAAAAACGAAATCATTAAATAAAGAAAAACAAAATGATATATTTAATAATTTCGTTTTTCTTTATATATATTAATTCCGTGTTTCTTTATATATTAATTTCGTTTTTCTTTATATATTAATTTCGTTTTTCTTTATTTAAAAATTTCGTTTCTCTTTATTTAATAATTACGTTTTTCTGTATATTTTAATTTCGTTTCTCTTTATATATTAATTTCGTTTTTCTTTATTTAATAATTTCGTTTTCCTTTATTTAATAATTTCGTTTTTCTTTATATATTAATTTCGTTTTCCTTTATTTAATAATTTCGTTTTCCTTTATTTAATAATTTCGTTTTCCTTTATTTAATAATTTCGTTTTTCTTTATATATTAATTTCGTTTTTCTTTCTTTAATAATTTCGTTTCTCTTTATTTAATATTTTCGTTTTTTCTTTATTTATTTTTGGTTTGCACTATTGGGCTTCCGTAGAAAACTGATAAACTTAAAAATATTATTGCCTTACAAATAAAACATTATATCTATCTGTACAAATGTATAAACAAAAACATCTCCTTAGGTGGTTTGATATCCTCTATTAAGACAATGTATGATTTACAAAAATATATATCTTATAAAAATAATGAAAAAGAATCTTTTGATGAAAGCTGGAGACCATTAACTGATTTATTTTCTTAATCATATATCTCTCTCTCTGTCTGTCCTCTCACTCTCTCTTTGTCCTTCTCTGTCTCTCTCTATCCCCTCTTTCTCTCTCTCTATCTCTCTCTTTCTCTCAATGTTTGTCTTTTTGTAAAAAATGTTTTTCAAAAATACAATAAATTATTAAAAAAAAAAAAAAAAACCATATTGATACCATAGATAGTGATGTTGGTTTGTTGATTGGTGTCAACGTACCGAAAGCAATGGAGCCATGTGATGTGATTACTAGTGTACACAAAGGTCCATTCGCTGTTAAGACTCTGTTAGGATGGGTAATCAATGGACCGATTGATACCAGACCAGAGAATGGTACTTACAGTACATACGTCACAGTCAACCGCATCGACGCAAGATTAGAGGAGCAAGTGAGATATCAATTCAATCATGACTTTAGTGAAAGAGCAATCGATGATGTTTCAGAGCCGTCAAGGGACGACAGGAGTTTTCTCGACTTTGTGACAAATTCAGTTCGCTTTGAAAATGGACATTATGTCGTTGGTTTACCATTCAAATCAGAAAATGTGATAATGCCAAACAACAGAAAACAAGCAGAACAGAGACTGAATTCGTTGGCTAAGAAACTTTGTAGTGACAGTGAATTCCATGACAATTATAAAGCCTTCATGGACAAAATTATTAGCGAAGGCTATGCACGAAAGGTGCCTATAGAAGACTTGAATCAAGATGATGGACGCGTTTGGTATTTGCCGCATCATGGTGTACTACATCCCAAGAAGAAAAAAGTTCGAGTTGTGTTCGACTGTGCAGCGAGGTTCCAAGGGACTTCACTGAATGAACAATTATTACAGGGCCCTAACTTGACAAACACACTCATCGGGACTTTGATGCGATTTATAGAGGAGGAAATCGCTGTGATGGGAGATATCGATAGTATGTTCTACCAAGTACGTATTCCGCCACAAGATGCTACTTTTCTACGATTTCTCTGGTGGAAAGATGGAAATCCTTCCAATAGTTTACTTGAGTACCAGATGATCGTGGATTTGTTTGGAGCCACATCTTCGCCTAGTTGCGCCAACTTTTGTTTACGAAAAACAGCTCAAGATTTGACAGGACATTTTAGTGATGAGGCAATAAAGACAGTTCTTCAGAATTTCTACGTTGATGATTGTCTGAAGTCAGTGAATTCTGTAAGAAATGCTGTGACATTGGTGAAAGAGTTACAGGGACTCTTGGAAAGTGGGGGATTTCATATATCGAAGTGGATCAGCAACAGTCGTGAGGTCATGTATTCGATACCAAAATCCGATAGAGCTAAAGAGGTCAAGGACTTAGATCTTGACTATGACTATGACCAGTAGAGCGAGCCCTCGGCATCCAGTGGTGTGTGAATTCTGACATCTTTCAGTTTAAACTGGACTTCAACAGGAAACCACTTACAAGGCGGGGAATTCTGTCAATGGTGAGCGGTGTGTTTGATCCACTGGGATTCTTAGCTCCACTACTACTCAAGGCCAAGATCATTTTGCAGGAATTGTGCAAACTTCAGCTTGGATGGGATGATAAGATTCCTGATGACACTGCTATTCAGTGGAATAATTGGTACCAAGATCTCGAGAAATTGAGGGACTTCAAAGTAAACAGATGTCTGAAACCTTATGGTTTTCATCCGCTCATGGTACAGTTACATCATTTTGCTGATGCGAGCAAAACTGGATATGGTACAGTGTCATACTTGTGCATGGAGAACGCTTCTGGTGAACGTCATTGTTCATTTATTTTGGGAAAATCCCGCGTTGCTCCATTTAAAGCAACATCTATTCCACGATTGGAGTTGACAGCATCCACGGTAGCCGTCAGAACCAATAGGATGTTACTTAAAGAATTGAACATTCCTGTCCATCGTATTACATACTGGACCGACAGCATGGCCGTTCTACGATATATTCAGAATAGTACAGCGAGATTTCATACTTTTGTTGCAAACAGATTAGCAGTTATCCACGAAGGGTCACTACCAACTGACTGGAGATACATTAAGGGACTCCGACCCTCAGCCAGGAAGGACAACTCTTTAATTTATAATTTAATTCAAAAAGTCTTTAAATGAACCTTGAAAATTAAATATTTTCATGCAACAATTTTCATTATATGCCTCTCAATGTGCTTCAAGAGTCTTTGAACTTCTCAGAAAGGTCTAATTAAAAGTAGAAATTTTTATCCCGTAAAAGCATTTCTAGATACCAATGTTTATTAACATGATATGAAATTAGAAGTGATTTATAGAGCTTTGCAAAGACTCTTGAAGCACATTGAGAGGCATATAATGAAAATTATTGCATGAAAATATTTAATCTTCAAACTTCATTTAAAGACTTTTTGAATTAAATTATAAATTAAAGAGTTGTCCTTCCTGGCTGAGGGTCGTTGTGCCTTAACACAAGGTTGAATCCAGCGGATCACGCATCTAGAGGTATCTCTGCAGATGGCTTACTGAAACAGGAGAACTGGATCAAACCCCCCAATTTCCTGTTTGAACCTGAGTATTATTGGCCAACACCAGCTTCACACCTCACTGACAGAGAACTGTTTGACAACGACCCAGAGGTGAAAAAGGTTACTGTAAAGACAGTTGTCACAAAATAACAGGAATTACAAGAGAATACCGCAGATATTAACAAGCTGTTTCAGCATCATTCGTCTTGGTATTTGTTAAAACGTAGTGTGGCATGGATTTTGAAGGTGCGTAAAGAACTGTTAAGACGTGTTCGTGTGAAAAGACTCGATTCTCACTCAATGGTACAGGATGATTCTCATGACAAGGCTTACATTTCATATGAGGACTTGAAAGAAGCAGAAAGAGCTATACTTACTTTCATTCAGCAGCAAGAATTTTCTACGGAAATAAATAGCCTTATGTCAAGAAACTCTAGTGTCAATCATGGTAGCAGAATCCGGAGCCTTGATCCATTTTTGGATGCTGGACGTTTGCGAGTCGGTGGTCGTTTACACAAGTCAAGTTTTCCAGGGGAGATGAAACATCCAGTGATTTTACCAAAAGATCATCATGTGTCCACTCTAATTCTTGAACAAATTCATCAGGATTTATTACACAGTGGCAGAAATCATATGCTAGCAAAGTTGAGAGAACGTTACTGGCTTATCCATGCTCCATCTGCAATTCGAAAAGTCGTATCAAAATGTGCTACTTGTAGACGACAGAGATCTAAGGTCGGAGAGCAAAAGATGGCAAGTTTGCCCAAAGATCGTATTATCCCAGACGAACCACCATTTAGCAGAGTTGGTGTGGATTACTTCGGACCATTTGAAGTCAAAGTGAAACGGAGTCGTGTGAAACGCTACGGTGTTATATTCACTTGCTTAGCTAGTCGTGCAGTGCATCTAGAGATAGCAGCTTCGTTGGATACAGATTCCTACATAAATGCACTACGTCGTTTCATAGCAAGAAGAGGACAAGTAAAGAAAATGCGTTCTGACAACGGAACTAACTTTGTTGGTGCCAAACGTGAACTTAAAAAATCCATACAAGAATGGAACCAAGCACAGATCCAATCTGCGATGTTGCAAAAGAACGTAGACTGGCAGTTTAACCCACCAGCTGGATCACACTACGGGGGAGCCTGGGAGAGGTTAATTAGATCTATTCGTAAAGCCATGAATAGTGTACTAAAGGAGCAGACACTTGATGATGAAGGACTTCATACTCTAATGTGTGAAATTGAATATACATTCAACGACCGACCAATAACAAAAAACACGGATCAACACGGTGACTTGGAGCCACTTACTCCAAACCATTTGCTTTTGATGAAGAGGAAACCTAAACTTCCTCCAGGAGTCTTCGATAAGACAGATCTGTACCACAGACGCCGTTGGAGACAGATACAATATATGGCCAACCTGTTCTGGCATCGTTGGGTACGCGAGTACTTACCACTTCTCCAGGAACGACAAAAATGGCATGATATCAAGAGAAACTTTCAAATCGGTGATATTGTGTTAGTTGTAGATTCGAACGCCCCAAGGAACTCTTGGCCGATGGGAGTTGTGCATGAGACGATTCCCGACAGAAATGGACTCGTGCGTCAGGTGAAAGTGAAAACCGCAACAAACATTCTAACGCAACCTGTCGACAAACTGTGCATGATCCTAGAAATGGACTAAGAGACTGTTTGAGATGTGTTTACTAGAGACTTTTGAATATATGAATATTCTTCTTTATCATGTACATGTATTGAATTTGCTAGACATCATGTTTTAATATCATGTGCATATATAATTTTTGATGAGAATTTAGTACAGTGTAACCTGTTTAACTTGCATTGAATTTTTATACAATTTTTGGGTTAATGGATATAATGTATATATCTATTTTTGTAATTGTGTCACATTTGTTCCACAATTAGGGGGCTGGATTGTTACGGCCATTTCGGTAACTAGACTTTTTAGGGTTATTAGTGTGATGTGACGTCATCATTTTTGGGGCACAGTAATTTTTTGTGTAGAGCCCGTGTTATCATGGCAGAATGCAGCAGGGCTTGGTGCCGCAATTGCTACCAGTTTGCCATTTGCTAGTTTGCTATGTTTTCCATTCTTTGTACTGATATTTATTTCACCGGAGGAAACTTCTAATTGGTGAGTTTTTCTATGTAAATCATTTAGCCTATACACCGTATATTTTTCATCTCGGTAAATATAGCATTTTTTATGAATCTCGCTATAAAGTTATTGTTAAAGTACATGTGCACTAATGTTGGAGTTAATAATTATCATGCAATCAGTAAGTTAGGTACATTATTGACATACATATTGTAATTTCGCTGGGGATGTGCACATTACGTACGGGAGATAACTCTATTTTCTGCCATGTTTTTCTATCATGATTTGTGTCAAGAAGAGTTATGCCTCTTTGTTTACAATTTATCAACAGTTTTGTGTATCGAAGTATTTTCTAGAACATGTAATACATCGTGATTATTTGCTAGGATGTGTTATCGTGTGTAACTTGCTTGAAATATCTTGTATTTACAGTATTTTTTCTTTGCATTTTTTGTAGTAAATCGTCAGTGTAATAGTCAACGTCATTTCAACGTCATTCACGTCATTTCCATGTCAACTTCAACTTCAAGTCATATTTCCATGTCATTGCCATCGTCATATCTCATCATCCTCATAAATAAAATCATTGGACGCATTTACAACGTTGTTTCTTTAATTTCCTGTCCGGAGTCAGTACAGTTATAACAATAAAAATGTCAATGGGTTTAGCAAGTGAACCTCTGTAGATTCCAGAGGTGGGATCTGGTGCATATGAATTAAGCATTCCCTGTTGACAGATCACACCCGCCATGATGTTTGTGCATTGATCAGAATATCAGAACTTTTATAAGTCAAATTCAACAATATTAAAACAAAAGACAAACAATTAGTTTGAAACAATACAGTAAAAACACCAGCCAGTGAGAGGAAAGTTTTATTTGTTTTGTTAACAACATGCCATCTTTAAAAGAGGCTACAACAAATCACTATTTGGTTGCATTCCCGGCCCCGCTTTAAAAATAATATTAACTTTGTGTAAGCTCCCGGGTATCAAATAAGGTGGGAGACATAAACATAAGCAGGTGATAGTAGAATATTACTATATAGATAAGGAAAGTTGATGATGGAAAGCTGAGGTCATCTAGTATGTCATACAATTAAGTTGTGGGTTTTCTTTTATCGTCTATGGTCAAAACATTCAAATATGAAACAGGTTTTGCAGATTTTGTGCTTTTTTTTATTTGAAGTCCACCGGGATGTATCGAGTCGAAAATTGAAAGAAAACATCAAGCAAGGAAAGCACAACATATTCAAATCTGAAATAGTGATCATTTTATATCAGACTGTCTTCGAAGCAAAATAAATATATAAATGTTTAAAAATTAAAATTTTAATGCATTTGCTCATGAAATGGATTCATTGATGTTATAAAGTCAATAATAAATGATAAGAATTTATTGTCATCAAAATGAAGATGTAGACCTTCACCCCTCTCAAGATGAACCACGTGCTGATACCCTGAATAATTGTCACGTGATAATGTCCATGGTTTCTGCAGAGTAGGCTATGCAATGCGCGGTACAAAATGAAGAAAAAAATATCCTTGTGTCATTCGCAGCTGTAGCATATTTAAAACAATTTTTACTATTTGAACAACTTTTCAGTTTTAATTCACAGTGCATTCTACCACGTCATTATTTTACGGAAAATCATGTTGATTTCCTTTTATATCTTACACACTCCCAGTACTTATTGTAAACTTTTCATTCAACTATAAATCATCAATTTCCTGATGTGAAATGAAAATAAAATTGAAACACAATAACAACAATTTATACTTAATTTAAAGCAAGTTTTTAAAATATTTTACTCATGATTTTATACGTTATCATTTAAGTATTATTTTACTTATAGAAAAGTAACGTCTCATTTCCCCATGTGCACTTTGTAACACAACCACAAATAGATCGGCCACTAATAATTTAATTAATGAACATCATTAAAAAGTATTTTTCAGATGCTTAAACTTATGATAAACTTTATGAAATAAGGAAGTTTTCACAGAAATCGGTAATTTCCAAATCAGGACCAACTGAAGTCCCTGTTTTTCTCTAAATAGACTGGTTATTTCCTCTTAACTTAAATTTAAAATAACTTTAAATATCGCTTACTTCCTCTGTATTCAATTTTGACTGTTCAAGCTAATTCTGTGCCATTTGTTCTCAGAAGGACCTTTTGCGTTGGCCATGCATGTTTTCCTGGTACTGTGAAAGTATATATCTATCTTCTTCCTTAAAGAGAACTACTTCCTTTGATCTGTTATTATGCTTTATTAGGTACAAATACGAAATCGCATGAAAAAAAACAAAACAGGAAACACTTGATGAATTTCAGTAATCATATCTTTCACATCTCATTTGTTTTCAAACATCACTAGTATTTGGTTCTTATTCATTTGCAAACATTTCTTCTTCACCCTTGTTTAATTTGTACCTGGCATTCAACATAATGTTATTGTTATATCATGTGTAATTTAACTTATAACAAGAAGGGCTTGTGAAGTAAGATTAACATAACAGTTATAAGAACAGATTTTCTGTTTTGATACTGTACATGTGTTGTTGTGATTTTTGTCTTGTTTATCTTAATGCAACTCATCTGAATCAATTGTTCTGATGCAAAACATTATATGTTTCTTGTTCAATGTTATATTCATTAATGATAACTCGTGCTCTAACGACAGGATCTAAAATCATTTGTGATTCCCTGACTGAGTCGTAGCTAGTATCCTCATCCGCCATCTTGTCCTCAATAACCATTTTACTCACAGGTTTGGCTGAAAATAACCAAAACAAATATAGGATAACTTGCACAATTACACTAAACCATTTAACATATTAAGTATTTATTTTAATTTTGCATACTTACTTTTATAAAGAGTAGTCTTTGGTTCTTTAGGTATAAGTCGACTATTGTACAGATAAAAATTGATTTACGTGTTAAGTTGACGTTTTCTTTAAATAAGATGGAAGTATATTTTTGCAATATTTTGCATCAGTTATCTTTGATACTTTGATACATATTCCTACATATATAAGTTATATATGTTTCTTCATTATGTACATATTTACATAAGTATTCCTTTTTTGACGAGATCAATTATAGAAAACATACACTGAATAAAAAGCATATTCGGCGAGCAAGAAGTTAAAAATATATCATGCTAAATAAATATCCTGCCTACTAAGCAGTAGATGGTAGGGGGAATCTTAACCTATTTCTTTAACTTTGCAACCCCGCTTTTTTTTCTAAAATTGTAGTATTGATAACTTGTAAACCAAGTCAAACTGATATTAGAACCAGCTTATAGAAATAGCTTTTTTAGAGAATTCTATGAATTATCCATGGTATCCATAGTAACACTTTTTATAAGAAAAAAATAGAATTATGTATCTTGCTATTCTGTTTGTGTATATCAATACTTTTTCTTAAATTTGACTAAAACTGTAAGAGATTTAGCGTTTCGATGGACGACGATTAACAATGCATAGGCTCAGCTGCTCTCTTACCAATAGAGCTACAAATGGCTATAGAAAAAGGAATGGAATTTACTTCCATTACGACAGAATGGTAAAACATATCCTTACCGAAAGTGTTTGAAAATAAAAAATGCTAATATTGTCAAAGAAATCCCAGAGACAGGAAGCAGTATTGCATACATCAAAGGTAAAACCTCCTGTGGAGAAGATTGAATTGATGTCGTATCTGAAACCGAGTGTTTTAAGTATGATTAAACAATCAAATATAACATCTATATTTTTTAGAGAAAAAAGCACAATGTGATCTTTATAAAATAAAAAACATAAATACAAATCTGTGAACAAGGCATACAACAAGACCTCTGAAATTTCTAGAGGCGAGATCACTTGCCTAGGATTAGTAAGCATCCTCGGTCGAAAGGTCATAACGCCGTAGTCCGGGATATTTTTAATGTAAACGAAAAATTTCTTGGGTAAATTTAGTATAAAAAACACCTAAAATACCTAACAATTGGTATGACAAAAACTTCAGCCGAATTACGACTCAGTGAAATGTTAATTTGCTTACAAGGTACTAGTAGTTTTTACATCCGTAAAATGTATGAAATCTGACGAGGTTGTTGAATTTTCTCTTATAACAACTTATCTGTCTGTATATAGTAGCTTGTCTTGTTTAGTGGACAACATAACAGGCTCTTGCGTATCGAATAATTTTGCAGATATAAACAGCATGTACAAGTGATAGCGAAATATATTAATTCAAACATAATGAACGTTGGCGAAGAAGTAACTAAAGTCATTACGTTTGTCATGTCATTTAGTAACTGGTTTGCCATGATCGTCTATAGTTTGTTAAACGTCCAAAATAAGAAAAAGATGTGGCAGATATTGTGGTGTCATGTGTTCGTGTGTTTTGAAAATTGGTAAGCTGAATATATTTTATCCGCATCCCTAACTTTTCAAAACTTTTTTTTATAATATGGTATGCCGCTTTCAAAAATAAATATTTTTCTTCACAGTCAACAAATAAATTTATGGAAAAACATTAGTAATTGAGGTAAGAATCTATTTCCTGTATATCCATGC